AAGGAAGCAATTCATTCTCACTCACACTTTTAAACATCACAAACGCCCTCAGAGGTATAAAAAAAAAATTTAATAGATCTCCATCACACAGCAGTCTAGCTCACCTAAAACCTACTTGAGTAGCATGCATGCCATGTGAATGCTGGCAAGATGCGTTTGACATACATAAGTGTACTTTCATCTGCATGAATGATGAGATGTTTTGCTGCAGTAGTCGCTAGCTTGAAGTATAGCTGACTAGTTGTGCAATGTGTGTGTGTGTGTTTATGTGTAAGAATTTATGACCAGCTTCTTTATTTTTCATTTCATACCTTTTGGATGCACCATAAAGAAGACATTAGACCACAATTCCTAAAACACCTCAGGCAGTAAAGACATACACACACAACTTCCTTTCAAAATATGACATTTTTTGCTTATAGTGCATGCTTGTGCTAAGCTTGTTAGTAGTACTATACACCAGCAGTCCTGACTAGCAACCCTGCTCACATCACTGTTGGCACGGCCACTTCTCCGGCAGGCACCAACCCACCCCGGCCTGGAGCCTTTCCTGGAGCCAGCAGTCCCGGGCCAGTGGCTGACCTGTACGGCCCCACCAGCCAGGACTCCGGCGTGGGCAACTACATTAGCGCTGCTAGTCCCCAGCCCGGCTCTGGCTTTGGACACAGCATTGCTGTAAGTACCCTATTCACCTCCATCACTGTTTCTCTGTTCTGTCCCACTTAATGCATTCACCGCCCTGCTCGAGTTAGTGCTTTTAGACTCATGTAGCTGCTATTGTAGTTTTTAGAGAGTGAATATTCTACCATAGTTTGAGGGAAAAAAGGCTAGATTAGATTTTAGTAGATTTCACAAATAATTACAAAGAAACAGCAAGCAACATATTGACATTTCAAAGTAGAAAGACTGAACTATTATTTTCTTGTAAAACATACTCTAATCTTTAATTATAACTTCGAAAAAATCATTTTTATGTATAAATTCTATTTAAATAGAATCTTGCTGTAATTTGCATATAAATGAGGCATGTTTGTACAAAAAGAATGACAATCATTTTAAATACATTTTTTTGCGCTGAAATACCTTGTACAAAAGTGGGGAAAATTTTTAATGAATTCCCTCTGAAACATTATCTAGCTAATAAATTAATTAGCTAATACATTTTAAAATTGAGTTTGTTCTGATGGAATAAATAATTCTAACACAATTAATAGGACTTAAAAGAATGTGTGATATGCAGGTATGTGAAATCATAAAAGCAAATATATGTGAGAGAAGTATTAAAATCATCTCAGATGCATTAGGTTGCAATGGGTCCAAAGGTGTGATAGATGTGCATGTTTTACCCATACTAATTATCAGGAATAAGGCTATAAAAATGTCTCTCTTTTGAAGGCTGAAAAATGTGAAATCATGGTCTCATTAGTGCAAAGCAGGTGCCCTGGCAAATAGCTCAAGTTCGATAGCGTTGGTTTTAGCATTGCTAACATTTCTGCATTCCCACCAGCATTCCTCTCCCTCTGTCAACTTCAGGATAACAAACTGTGAACTTGTACCAGCTGTCAGCAGCGGTGTGATGTGTCAGTGTGCTTTTGTTCATGTGCCAGCCCGGAGGACAGAAATCTCACAATTAGTTCTTCTCTCATTTTCAACCCGGTATTTTGTTTCCAGCACACAATGGCTTTTTTATTTTTCGAGCAGATGATGGGCATACCAGAGGCAGCCTTTGAAAGGTCCCCAACACAAAGTGCATATGTAAATCAATAAGGCGATAATCAACTCTTGTGAGAAACCCTGTCATAAGAATATGTTGTCTTGCCCTTTGAAGCCATAGGCATTCATTATTCCTTCCGTGCATTAGTTTTTAACCTTTAGTGGAGCAGAGAGATGGAGCAGGAGTTGGGCAGAAGAGAAAAGGAGCAGGGCCGACTCGCAGGGGGGTTGATGAGGGAGGCCGCACTAAATCACAAGCTGCCGAGGGAGTTACCGACTCCGGACGTTTTTTGAACCGCCGTCCAGATCTGCTGGAAAAATTAATAAGAGCCTTTGTATGTGAGGACACTGCTTATTGCCTATCTGCACACACCTCTGATTCATTCTGCTTTCAATGCCCCTCCAATCTCTTGTTTGTGAGGAAAAGCAAATTACTTTTTTTTCTGTCTCTCTCTTCTGCCCTTAAGTACAGTTGGCAAAACAGACCGGGCACTCATTAAATCTAAACGGGATTTTCAGAATAACAATGTCACCTTGCGCTTGACTTTCAGATGGAGTTTTTCTAACCTAAATAGAGTCAAATTTAAGTTGGCCTCAAAACCTCAGAACATCTCACTGGTGATTGACAGTGTTCTGGAGGAAGAAAGACTTTTTTTCTTGAGCTGTCTGACATGAACTGCTGTTTCTGTTAGCCTCTGAAGCGTCCTCACAAACTGAAAAGCTTTTTTTACAAAATATTTATTTCTATAAATGTATCCACCATTTTCCTACGCCCCATGACGCTTTGCGCAAATTATGGGAGGAACTTCTGTTAAACTGTAAACAGTCAGCCTGTGAACAAAATAATAACCATTGAACATTAAATGGAAATGTAAAATTGTTAAAGCATTAACAAATGACTTTCAACAGACCACGAATATCCCCAAAATCTCGATTATTGCAGCAATATTACAGACGTGTTAAATATCACTGTGGTTATATATGTCTATATGTTGCCTGAATCCAAAATGTACATTAACATTGAGTGATAATATTTCAGTGATTTCCATCATTTCAGCAGATTACAAATATTATATTTACCTGCTTTTAGAAACATTCCAGTAAACACTGCTAATAGGGATTAGAAGTGCAAAGGGGAGACAATTATATTTTAAAGCATCCATGAGAAAACAAACCTGGAAAGAGACATTAGGATTTTTGGGCAGAAAAATTTTAGATTCTTAGTGCATTCCAGTGAATTATTCATGGGATGTATTGTAAATTAAATCGGCAGAACAGACCACAAATGCGCAGTGTATGTTGTCTTTTTTCATACTGTTATGGCAGAATACAAGGGAAGAAAGAACGTAACCAGGAGGAAAAGAATGCATCGGATTGAAAAGAGCTCTTGCCATAGATGTTCTTCTTCTACCATGTCACATTAAAATACTAAGCGTTACGTTATTCTTCTGACGTCTGAAAATAGAACATGAAGGAAAATTTACAGCTCATTCAGTCAAACAGACAGATAAGGATTATTTGTGGCGCAGCTTTATGATTTAAAATGACTCAAAAAGACTGTAACTTCCCCAAACCGGAAGTGCCTCCCATAATTTAAAACGCAGTAGGCTTGTTAGGAAAAAGGTGGATACATCTGGCCAATGTTTAGGTTGCTCAGTGTTTGGACCGGAGCCTGACACAAGTGAAGTTCACCGTTTTCCTGCTTAGATTGAGGCTTCTATGTGACTTCTGACAGCGTTTGTCTCTTGCTTGTGTTTGCTGCATGAATTGTGATTTCAGATGAATTCATTAATGTTGTTATTGTTGGCATGAATGTAAATGATTATATGCAATTACTTGATCTTTGTTCAAAAAAAACAAATGTTCTTTCTTGCAACAGTTTACTTTCTATTCTCTCTTCTTCTTTGAAATGTACATATTTCTTTCCATTTTACTTCACTGTTTGGCAGTAAAAGATTTAAATGGGGAGAGCAGGAATAAATGTAACACCTTTTTGTTGTTGTTGTTATTTTGTTTGTTTTTTTGCTGGGTTTTTTTTCCTGAAGATTTTTATCCTAAATTAACTCCATATCTTCAATTTCCAGCCATTAAATGTAGAAGTTAACTGAGATAGAGAATGTTAAACAACGAGTATATATTTGCTGCATAGTTTGAAATATGTAATAAATATAACAGAAAATTGAAAACTTAGTTATGTGAATAATTATGTAATTGCCATTCTGCTGTTGTTCTGTAAATTTTATGATTGATTGATTTTTTAACTATATTACGTTTTATTATGATTTTTTAAATTGGTTAAAAAACATCAGCCCTAAAGGAGAGATACTTGTTTAATGGGATGTTCATGTTTTAAGGGTAAATAAGGTACAAAGGCGTACCACCCCAGTGGTACTAGTAGCTTGTAAAAACAGTAAATATTTTTTGCAACTTTACAGTCATGCAGTCTTTAAAAGTCTGTCATCTTTTCACTACAATTTGATGTTTGAGTTATTTACTGAGTGTTAGTTATTCTTGCTCTCCCCTGCTGTTCACCTAGATCAGACTGAGGGAATGATGTGGCCTGATCTTTAAAGTTTATAGATAACATGCATTCATGCTAGCAACACATGCAGTGATTGAAATGACTTACGAGTGATAGACATATTAGCCTTTTCACTCAGAATGCATACTGACACCATTACTAACTGTACACTTTTAGGGTCCTTTGATTGCGACAGCTTTTACAAATGGATACCATTGAAACCTAACAGGTGGTTGGTTGCCATCTCATTTGAGGTAGATATCCTGTACCATTTATGAAATATATTTGTTTGATTTGTGCCTTCATAATTATGTATCTGTTCACTACTATCTTCCTGTTCCATCTGCCCATTCATTTTGATTCCCTCTCAGATGAGTTTACGTTGAATCCGTGTAGTGCTTTTATTTTTTCATCAACACCGTAGGCTTTTACAGGGCTTTTACATCTCAGACAAGGAAATTTAAACTTCATATGCAACAACCTGGTTTTCAGAAGTCTTATCTCTCATTGAACATCTATTTTATTATTTATTCCACATTTTGAAGCCCTTTGAAAGCCTTGAAAAGTGTTTCCCGCTTCGCAAACACCGTAAGTGTGGCGGCTACACATTTGCCCCATTACTTTTTATCACTAGTTCCTCCTTTATCCTCCGCCTGCCTGTCTGTCATTCGACTGTTCCTTTCATGCATGATGTCTGCGAGCGGGTCTACTCAAAACTGCGCAGTTGCTTTCTTTCACTGCCATAGTTGGATTGCGACAGCCGCGGCACTGCGCTCCCAACGCACATAGACTCAGATCCTCTATGAAGTGCTGTATTTGGATATTATGCACAGGTGTTGCGGCTTTGATTAGTGTGCACCTGGAAGCGAGCCCTCTTTGCTGAGAATCTGTTGACTTAGGTGCCATCTGATGTAATTCATCAGGTTTTTTGGATAAGGCGCTGTTTCCGTAATCACTGCGCTTCTATAGCTAGGTCTTAAGGACTTAAAGGTGATTTTGAGTATATGCTGAGATGCCAGATATGGCTAAATCGGAGATGACTCGCTTATTTAAATGCGGTGTATGTGGATAAGTGGATGCACATTTATTCGGTCAAAATCCCTTCCCTATACTTACTTAATATTTGCACCCAGACTGTTTTTTTTTCTCCTACGGTGATGCATCAAGTGCGATTACGCCAGACTCTGTGGCTCCATGGCATTTACCTGTGACCTGTCGTCTCCATAAGAGGCCTGCGGACTGCGGTTTGTTGCCCATAATCTTCCTAAAGAGCTTCTCATTTTGTCCTCGAGGCAAAACGGATGATTGATTTAATGAGTAGGTAGAATCGCTCCATCTGTATGGCTTCTCCAAACGTTTGATTGAAGCACACATTAGCAGTCAGAGAAAGCAACAGCAGCGGAGAGATATTGCAGAAGCAGGTTCTTAACTTGTCATTTCCTGGTTGGATGGACATCCGAAGAGTTTCTGCATGCTTGAAACACTAACATATGTGTTGTGTCGATGTCTGAACCCCATGTAGATAAGATGTGTTTGCATAAAAGTGCCAATGTGTTCTGTATCTGAGCCTAAACGAACGAAGCTTGTAATAAAAAGATGCTGACGGTGGAGTGATTCTGACAATATAGCATGTCTACTTCAATTTAAAGCTGTCGGCAGCAAACTTTCAGCCGGACTGAATCAATACATGGTTTATGTTTAAACTAGATTTACTGTGTACGATTAGAAGCTTCAGTTCGTCAAACATACTGCACTTCCAAAGCCAATATATGCTTTTAATAACCTTGGTTTTATTAGAAAAACAGTTTGACTGAAGCACAGTTGTATTTGAAATTCATGTGAATTAGCTGAAAGTTTAGACTAATTCTTTGTTACTATTTTCCATGTTTTAGAATAATACTAAATCAAAGACAACATTGATTGCTTTTAAATAGTACTGAAGGAGTTCATTTTTTATGCTTGACACTTTCCAGTCCAACTCACCCATTAAAAAAATAAATGAACAGTTACATTTTAAATAAATAAATAAGGTTTTGAAAATAAAATCCGTTTTCTTATAAAAATATTAGTTTTGAAAAAAAAAGGCATACATACACAATTTACACTACTGTTCAAACGTGGGATTGGTAAGACTTTTTTTTTTTATATATAAAGTCTCTTATGCTCACCAAGCCTGCATTAATTTTTATCAAAATACAGTTAAAATGGTAATATTGTAAAATGTATTATAATTTAAAATACATGTTTTTTAGTTAATATATTTTAAAATATAATTTATTCCTGTGATGGCAAAGCAGGGCATTACTCCAATCTACAGTGTAACATGATCCTTCAGAAATCATTCTAATATGCTGATTTAAGGATCAAGAAACATTTATTTTTTATTAATATTTATTAATATTATCAATTTTAAAAACAGTTTTTTCAGGATTACTTAATGAATAGAAAGTTAAAAAGATCAGCATTTATTTTAAAATATAAATATTTTGTACAATTATAAATGTCTTTACTGTCACTTTTGATTAATTTAATGCATAAAATCTTACTGACGCCAAACTTTTGAACAGTAGTGTATTTGTAAACAAATTAATTGGAAGATAATGAGAAACATACATTTGGAAGTCAAATGTGTCCAAACTTGTGGCTGTTAGTGACGAGGTTCATGGAGGTAAGATTATGATGTCACCAGCAAGGCTCAGATGCAGCACATTTCACACACACACACACACACACACACCCCCACCCACCCACACCCACCCACCATTTAACTGAAAGTATGTGCTGTTTGTTTCAGCAGAGTTTATCAGGAGGCCCGGGGAAGACTGACCGGAGTTTCTAATTGGTTCTGTGTACAGGTAAAGGCCATTAAACTTCAAGCACTACAGCGCTGAATGGGAATCTAAATCTGAGATGGCGCCACACGAAGAGCAAACCGAAATATCAGAATCATCTCAGAAAGAAGAAGAAAAAAAACAACTAAACAATCTGCTGTACTATACTGAAAACCTGGCTTTTGAATATTTTATCCTAGTGTAGCCCTGACCTTGAATTAGGATTATATTTTTTCCCCTTTATTGTTTTTCCTTTTAGAAGCATTTTTCATCTTTTATTGTGTACACGTTGAATCAACCAACGTTTATTTGATTTCTAGATGTTCTTCGTTGTTCTTGAATGTTCTCTGATGAGAGCGACTATGTAAACATAAAATGTTTTTTTTTGTTTTGTTTTTTGAGGTATAATATTCCAATAGCAGTGTCATTTCACAGCCCTCGTCTATCACATTTTCAGGTTTCATTTCATACAAGCAAGAAACCGGATTGAAATGACTCGGCTTGAAAAGGTGACATTTTTAATTCAAGCCTAAACCGCAATGAGTGGGTAACTCAAAAAAAATCTTAGTAGCTCTGTTCTCTGTTTATTGTGATGTCTTGTTAACCATGATTACCTATTTTGGGCAATAAGAGGACTACAATATTTTCACAGTCCTTTTTTATAAATGTAATTTTTGTTGTCGATGAAAAAAAAAAGAGAGAAAAAGCTTTCCTTTTAATACTTTGTGAAATGAGATTTAAAAAGAAAATAATTCTGAAACTGTATATATTATTCTGTTCACTGCATCAAACTGTTTCTGAGAGAGAACCATATTTTTGTGATGGTGTCATAGAGGTTGTATCGTGCGCAAGCCGAAATATGTCAGTGCAAAAATATCTTCGAGGGTCAATGCAGTAACTGAGGTCCATCTGTAGCACAAAGGCCGTGATTTACCCCAGTACGGACGAAACTCAATCGAACACTGTTAGCTCGCTTTGTAAATACCGTCGGCTTTACACCTGTGCAGGTGTCATACCAGCATATGGATTAGATAGTACGTTAAAATGTGCACAGCTTACAGAGAATAGAGAATATACTTTACAAGGTATACAGAAATCAGCATTGTAACAAAAGAAAAAAAATCGCGACAAAATCCAAAGCACACATGAATTACGATTTCAAACCGTGTCGAGACATTTCATGTTAGCATTTCATTTCGCATTCTAGTATGAGCTTCTTTTTCCCAACGAGTGTCCATGTGTGTCGAGATTTTTACGATTCGAATAAAAAAAGGCAATATTTCAAAATGTTTTGAAATTGCTCTACGATTAGAAAAAACTAATCTTTTATACCATTACCTCAGTCCTGTGAGAATTACTTTAAAGGAGATTACAAAGTAATTTATTTTAGCCTGAGACAGATATTGAAAAAGATATTAAAGTGTTGTTTTGAAATTAAGTAAATCATTGCACTGTGAGAGAGAATTTATCATTTTCTATTTGCACATGTGAGCTGACAGTCTCTAACATGGGTCATGTGAAGGACCGCTGTGGAAGCCGTTTGTTTCTTTCCACGCAGGATAACACGAATCTCGAGTCTTGGCTTGCATTGATTCGAAGACTGTACTATTTTATTCTAGAATATCAGAGATGACAGATGAGTTTATTGGTAGCAATAGTTCATTTCCTCAGAAACACTGAAACCAGTAGCTGCTACACACATTTGTTGTTCATGTGGGGACTGGATTTGATGAGACACAAATGGCATTTAGAAATATGAATTGACTGATGCTGTTATTCGATCTTGTTGAAATTTTTTTATTTTGGTTTATTTAATTTGTTTTGTTTGTTTTTTGTTCATTTCACTAAACTAACAGGTGAGGCAGAATGCTGGATTCTTTCTCAAGAAGGAGACGTGATAAAAGTAATACGATTTTAAAAAATAAGTCTAGAAGAACTTTGTGCTAACTGTTTGAGCTGTTTTAAAAAAGACAAACGTACAACAACAAAAAAGCAAGAAAGAAAATTATCCCGAACATGTTTTGAATTTAATGGATGGATTTTTATCAATATTTTTGTGGATGTTAATGATTATACTAAATATAACAATGACAATAATACAGATATTATGTACTGTATTTTATCAATTGTTTCTCTTCATTCCCTGTCACCTCATTCAGTAATCTTATGTTGATCATTGTATTTCAGTAGTGTGTAAAAAAAAAACAGAAAAAGAAAAAAAAACAGGAATATGACTTTACCTTGTAAAAGAGTGCTGTCTTGATACCAGTGTAGTGGTCTATACACTTCTTGGTTGGTATTTTTCACATCCCCCCCACTCTCCTTTTGTCGTTTTGCCCTTTCTCTATATCTCACTCTCTCTTTAGTGAGTAGTTGTAGGTGTTATGTACTTAATGTTAAGATGTAGAGGTATTCATTAGCAATTGTAGGACCAGTAAGGATAGAACTTTCTCTTTATAATCATTTAAAGACAAAAAGACAAAACATGCTGAGCGTTATTTTCATAGTAATTTTTCCTTTTTTTTTCTTCTTCTTTTTTATTCCACTGTTTTGCTGGTCTCATATGGTTTCAACTAACCAAAGCTCTCACTGATGAAATCTAGGAGAAAGAAATTGCTGTACGACAGAATTGTAATCAAGGCATTAATTGGATCCCCACCCTTGAATGTTTTAAAAGGGGTGTGCCATACTACCTTAAATGCTAACGCTAGATATGCAAAACCGTTTTACTTTCATTCTTTTTTTAAGAGGGACACGAGCTATAATTGTGAAGAGGATGATTTTATTAGGTGAATGAAAAATTCATAAATATTTTTTTAGTAAGTTCTAACAAAGTAATGATGATGATATAGCCTAATCAGTATAGATATGGATAAAACTGTAATAGGTTTTTGATATTTATACTCTTCAAAAAATATCCCAGTGGCCTACAGCGCTACTTTTTGTTTTTTTTATGTATACTTTTTTGGGGGGATTTTATTTTTATGCCTAGATTAATACATACTTTAGTTTTGAGTCACCCGTAACATACAATATGATTGTTTTTGTAATTTTTAATTGCATTGCCAGCTTTTCATTTGAATTCAGCATTCCTACATTCAATACCAGACAGCATCATTGTCTGTTCTGATGTCACGATAATTAGCTTGACTTTAGTGTAAATCTAGTGTCACTCTGAATCTGTATTCCTGAATCACATCTGTTCTCAGGGATATCAAACATGAGCCAATGTACCACCTTCACTGGGGAGATTGCTATGCTACTAGTGAGTTACGATCAGCACAGCACAACTTTTAATGAAAGGTGGTTTCTAACTGAAGTTTATTCAATACATTTGAGCGAAATAAAAAGGTGCTGTCGGGATGAACCGTGCACAGCATTTTCTTACTGAAGACATCTTTTTAAACTGCAACAATAAGTGGTTAGTTGTTCTTAGTTGGATGTCTCTTTCTTAACAAGTTGAGTATCCAGCATCCATTTAGGTCTTCATACACATTTAGATGGTCTGCGATTAAACATCTGAAGGCAAATGTTTAACAGCAGATGAAGCACATTTCCCTTCTGCTGTCAAATAAGTGCATGATTCGGTGACTCTTGATTAAAATGAAGGCTGGCAACCTTTTTAAACAGTCTTTTCCATTCGCATCGGTTAGCTTACCCTGTTTTTTTTTCTTTTCTGTTTTCTTCCTTAATTTGATCTCGTAGCTTGGACTTTAAGGTAGCATGGCTCTGTTGCCATCATTTTGTTTTCCATGGACAGCAGTTTACAGCGGATGAATGTTACACATCTTGCTAGACTAGTTAAATCATTGGAAAATTGTTGGTTTAACAAAAAAAAAAGAAAAAAGAAAATGACCTGGAAGGTGTTGGGTGATTTTGGAAGTGAACTACCGAATCCATTTAAACTTGAATTTTGCGGCAAGTGCTAGGCAATGGCCAAAACGATCATCCCACTAATAAAGCAAAACGTTCTACACTGTAATGTCTAATGTACAGTATACTTGTATACATATACAAGGTATATATGTATAGTGTATATATATATATATATATATCTCTTAGTTAAATTGTTGAAACTGCCTCATGACTCATCATCGTAGGTGAACTGATGCTAGTCCACATTGTTGGTTCCTCTGGCTGTTGAATCATGTGTCGTGTAAGAGCTGCAGCAGATGTACAGGAGGCCCGGTAGTAGTTTAGCTGCAGAATGTGTCGTGTAAACTTGACAAGGACGTGTATATGGTGTCAATAGGTGGAGGGTCTTATTTTTTGACACTTGGTCTCGCATTTTCTCCTGAGGCTTCGGCCTCGCTGATTGCCTTGCCCATTCCTAACACTTGCCCATTTTTTAATGTTAACGGACTTTTTACCGCGAGAACTGACTGAACGGACTGACGTCTGAAAGCATCTTTCAGGTCTTCTTGTATGGCTTGCTCAAGCCCTGTTGTAAAATAAACTAAAGTGGATGGGGGTCTCTCACATCTCAGATGTGGAAAGTATAATTTTATATTTGTATTTTCAAATAATAATGATAATAATAATAAAAAATGTTTGTGAAAGGTTTCCATCCTCTACTGTGGTCCAGAAATCAATGTGTTTGTCTGGAAAAGATAAAAATAAAAATAATAATAAAAAATAAAAATAATAAAAGTGTTTTGAACCATTTCACTCATGGTTTTTATTTTCAACCTTTTTCAAGCAATTGATTTGTGATTCAAAATAAATGAATATACCTGCAAAAGATTGTATGCCAGAACATGCACAACGATTAAAATGCACAAAGTTGAATACAGAGGCCAACAGCTCTTGTGTAAGTTTGTTTTCATTCTCACATTTGTTTACATCCGTAAATTTGATTCTGACTTGTTGAAGGCTAAACACATAGTGAGATATATATTAGATAATTGTAGAAATACATCATTAGAGAAATGCTTTTCCACTGGTGTTTCACAGATCTGTTCTGAAATGGTCACATGCACACACTTCAACTGAAAAAAAATGTGCATAGATAGAATAACAACATAAACAACAAAAAAAGGCTTAAGAGGGATAAGTGTTTTTGTTGTTTATTTCCAAGTCTGTGCCTATTAAACTCTATTGTATTTTTGGCACCAATTCATGTTTTATTTGGTAGAAGCAACTAGATTAGACAGATGCCAACAAAGACAGGGTTCTTGACATGCCCTCATTCTTGATAACCATGAATGAAACTATGCAATGTAATGCAAACAGTAAATACAAGTTCACTTGCCAAGAGGATAAACATAGTTTCTGAACACATTGTTATGAGCAGTGAATTATTGGATGCCAAGAGCACAAAACCAAATTCATTTGACATTTAGAAAACAAACAATCCAACTATAATGAATGACTATAAATCACACTTCTCTGTTGTTTATGCATTTATAAAATTGCTGGTTTTGAAATTCTGCCAATTGTTTGTTAGAAATGTTGCTTAATGTTGGGCCTGTGCAGTTTATGGTAATATTAATGCACTTAAATGTTTGGTTTTATCAAAATGTTACCGTTTAAAAAACCTGGTACTGTGTTGGCTCTCCACTTGATGTCCAATGTAAAATCTACTTTATAATCCATTTTATAAGCCTAAAATATGAAGATTGTTTTAAGTGAAATAATGGTCAATCAACAATCTTTATAAAATGTTTTGAAATGAATAGTGAGAGATAAAAATTTAATCACCAGAAAAAAAGTGGAATCCTTTTTAGTCATTTATGTAACACCATAGAAAAAATATTTCCTAGTGCAATTGGTTCAAATAAAGCTCAAGAGGTCAGACTTTAAAGCCTTAAAGGCTCAGTCGAGAGCCTCAGACCATCTTAGAAAATAAAGTCTTGAAATTATACTGCTAAATTATACTGAAATTATACTGCTAAATGTTTTGGTTGTCGAGTTGGTTTCAACTATAACAATAGCTACATCTCGATTTGGACTGTTTTTGTCGTACATTCCTAATTAGAAATGTTTTAGAGAGAAGGATAAAAAAAAAAAGAAAAAGGCCTAAGAAAACAAATATAGGAATGTTCAGGGGGAAAACATGATTTCAAAAACAACACCCTTTCATACATTTTTTTCCCCAAGACGTACTGTACACAGAATCCAATCAGACAGTCCTATTGTTGTGCGGTACGTTTGTGTCTTCCCAGAGCCTAATCAAGAGGTGTTTCAACCGGGATGAAAAATGCAATGCGTGCAGGCTGGCAGAAATTAATGTCATTTTTAATTTGAGTCGCTGTCCCATTCTCAAATGTGAAATTGCCTTGCTGAATGTAAGGTGTGACAGCTATTATAAATGTGTGGAAATCCATCTTCCACCCTGCCTCCTCTCCTCTCTCTCTCTCTCTCTCTCTCAGTCCTGGATGAGCAAGCTCTCTTCATACAGTCACTATCACTGTAGCTGTCCACCCACACTCTTCACTGAAGCCCTTGGATGGTGTCATGACTCATTGTGTTCACTGTTTGCAAGAGAGAAATACTGAGAGAAATCTCAGCTTCCCTCTTATCAGGAGACCACTTAGACAGGAGAGCTGCAGCACTGCATCCTAACCTGTTCAATCGCAGAAAAGAATGTGATTCTGTCAAACAGGTCCGCTGAAAGCGCGTGTATCTCATAGTAAGGAAGGGGGAGTCTCTTTGTGTCGTATATGTACTTGCAAGCAGGTGTTTGCCACTTGTAGTAGTAGTAGTACGGGAAAAGCTAGTCATTACCTTAGTATAAAGCTCAAGTCCCAGGGATGGCAGCCGTGAATTAATGTTAAACCCCACCCGATATACGTATACTCAAGTTGGTCCCTTCCGAAAACACTCTGTGTACATCGCAGTGTCACAATGGGGTTAATTGTACCTGGAGACCTTTGTGTCATGATGCCTAGCAACAAAGCACTGGCGTAAGTTTCAGCTGACTTAAGTACACCAATTAAATAGTTTGAAAAATGACTGCAGGTGTCGGGAACGATCTCGAGAGAACTCATTTGGAGAGTTCTGGGTTCTCTGGTGTATATTTAAGACCGAGCTGCCCAACCTTTAAGGTCTGCCGGTGTGTTTATACGAACTGAAAAATATCACAGGCTCCCCTCTGCTCGCTCCCAAAGCCTCTCAGAGAAGTGTTTTAGTAACTAACTTTGCTTTACACAAGGCAAGACACAAGAAAGAACTCCGAGGGGGTTTTGCCACTACTTTTATGTTCTTGTTGGTGTTTGATTAACCAGGGACTTTATTACACGGTGCTCTGGAATACTTGATTCTGATTGGTCAATTGTAGCATTCTAAAGTCAAGTATTATTTTAAATAGTTCCGGTCCTTGAATTTGATTGGCTGACATGGTTCTAAGAGCGCATGCCCACTGTGGTAGTCCAGCATCAGTGAGAATGTTCACTTTATAAAGGCCTGTTCACAACAAAAATTACAAGAATTAGGTCTACACCACAACTAATACAGAAACGATACAGAGAAAACATATCGGTGGAATTATGAATTCATTCATGAATAAAGCAAGTGATTGTTTTCATGAGTGAATAATTGGTTCATTCACTTAAAAGATTCGTTTAACAACTGTAATTCATTCAGGAACTGAACAAGTGACTTGTCTTCATGAGTGAGTCATTGAATCATTCACTCAATCGATTTGTTCCAAAATGCTGTGGCTCCTTTTCAAACTGTTGGTGGATGAAAAATAAACACTGGCAATAGTGTGTCACTAAGTAGGCCTACACAGACCCAATATTGTCTTTAAAATGTAAGTTACTCACGATCAAATTATTGTTTATTGAACTACTAAAGTGATATCACGATCTGTTGGCTATACGTGTCTGTGTTTACATTAAGGCAGACAGTGCATTTGCTAGTATTACGTTACTTAAATGTAATGACTGTTTCCTAGCTCTTTGTTTTCATATAGTTATTTCAACTCAATCAGTCACTATTTTATGTCCATATGTAATTGGTATCTGTCTACTAAGCAGAATAATGTACAGTAAATCATACATTAATGTATAATCAGCTGATCAGTATGACAAAATAAACCCTTTGAGGGAGACACAAGACCTATTCACGCTGTCAGGGTTTATTTTGTGATAATGGCCAGCATTATATACCAGTTGTGGTCCATTATTTAGAGCTCTCCTGATTGAATTTCAATGCATGATCAAACTGTAATTAACAGCAGGGCCTCTAATTACTCGGCAGGTGTACGGTGCTTGAGAAATGATCTTATTGCAGTGTCACTGGAAGTGTGCAAGCCAAAGTTGTAAAATCAGATCGTTTCCACGTTTCCACTAGAGTTGTCCACCCACTATGGCTCTTCATATCCACAGTGGAAACTGCATTTTTAGCAGATGACACTTTATAAGAGGGTTGTTGATGAAAAACATAATGGCGTCCTCATTATTCGCTCCTCTCGGCTAAGCGATCGATGACCGAAAGAGTTCTGCGGCTTTCACAGAATGGATATCCACAATCGTTTACAGTGTCAGGAGCAGCACGAGGGTTCGGATGTGATCACGCATTAACATCAAGTGCGATCAGGGAGACGGAGACCGTCCCGTTCTGAATGAACCCAGACAGTTTTTCTGGGATTAGAAACCTGTTCAGCCCCTTGTCTTTGCTGATGAGTATTTGACTTCTAGCTGCGAGACATCCCAATCATCTCCACTCCCCCAATACTCCAATCAGTCCCTCATTAGCATCTGACACTACCTGTCATTAACAAAGCTCTCTAATTAGGAGCCAATCAGTCCTCTCAGGAGCCCTCTTCTGAATGATGTGTGTTTAAAGCAGGAGCATGCGATGAGCTCAGATTGCAGGCGAGGTGTG